AGTTCCAGTGGTGTGTGATATGCAGTTCCTGTTGTCATGGTAACTCGTTTAATCTCCACTAATCATGAGTTTTCATTCAAGCAGGTGCAGAACTTTGAGTTGACCTTCTCAGATTTGATTAAACTAACTGACAGCAGCTGTTGGGAAACCAAAAACTAAGAATGTCATACCTTAGTCTAGATCATTTCAGAGGATTTGAGTCTAAGTTTGTTAAACAACCTTTGTGAAATTAATCTGTTATCATCAACCAACTCTTTCCTGATCAGTCTGCTTTCACCCCTCAGACCAATCAGAAAGTTCAGCTGACTTCCTGCAGTTCTCCGCTTCCAGGTTCTTGTTGCTTTCAGTAAATAAAACAATAAAACTCAGTTTCACCGTGAGATTCTCCATGGGGTCAAAAAACTACAAATCAAAATGTCAGCAAAACTATTTGACCTGAAATCATTCCTTCGTATCGACTCGTGGGGTTTCTGCCAGGCAGCAACATTTTTTCGACAATCTGCAACATTTTGGTTTGAACATTAATTTATATCTGAACCTGAGTTTTAGGATTGGCCAGAAGCCTTTATCTCTTCACAGCTTTGTGTTCCTCCTGCAGAGTCAATGCACAGCTTCATTTTGGAGATTAGCTGATTTTTTTTTTTCTCCAATCCGGTTTTCTAGCCGTTCTAAGAAACGGCTAAGCCTATTCCTGGAATCGTTCTCCATACCTGCAGCTCTGTATTTGGTTCACATGATAGTTGGTGGTTTTCTCAGCTGAGAAATTGCTATTTGAATGTGTAAACAGGCCCTCATAGAGATGCTATGAATAGCATTACAGAGCCACAGTGACGTATCAGTATCAGCATTTAGGTTTCATTGAATCATTCTGCTCATCAATATAAATGAACCTTTGCATAACCCAGGCCTCCAAGTGTCTTGAAACTTTCTACAGCTTCATCTTCAGAGTAAAAACAGGAAAATGAATGCTTAAAAGATCCATTGATCTTCTTAAAGCTGTGTGTGGGCTCTCCTATTGGGGAGTGGCGGGGCGTAATGACGATGAAGATGCCCAGCTCTGTCCAGTCTGACCGGTTATGAGGAATCTGCTTTTTGGAATCAGGAAGACTTGAAGCATTTTTTGTTTTGTTTGTTTTAACATCACATCAAGTCAAGAATTATGTCTCTGTAGCACTGGGCCATCCACTGCTATTGTCTGCTGTTTGCTTCCACATTGACATAGCAGGGACACGGCCGCCATCTTTATCACACTCTGCTGATTGTTTGACATATTTGAACTCAGTAAAGCATTTTTTTTTTCTATCCCACAACAATAGAAGCTCTTCCAGGTTATTTATTGCTGTCGTAATTTAACATGAAAGTTTTCAAGTGAAGCTTTAAAATGATCTTATTTAATCCACTGCCCTTTTTTTTTCTGCATCATAGACATAGGAAAATAATTGGACTTGTTTAACATAAACAATTATTAAAGCTTGTTTCTCCCTGCTTTGCTTCTGTCCCTCTATCACAAGTGTTTATGGAGCCAGTTTAACCGGTTTTGTGGGATTTCAGCAGAACAGGAATAACAAGGGAGAACTTGCCCAGGCCTCAGTGTTTGTGTTCCTCATGGGGAGGACCGATCCAACCGGTTTTCTCCTATGAGGAGATGAGAGAGGGAGAGAGAGAGACAAAAAGGCAAGGTGGGGTGGGGGTGTATGGGGCGTTATCCTTCTCCTTAGTCTCCTCTGCTGCTCTGCTTTTCTTTGCGCGTTTCTCTCCTCTTTCAAACTTTCAGCCCATGTAGGAGTTTGGAGAAGGACGGTGGAAAACGGGACCCGAGAGCGCCGGAGCGGGTGTTCCCAGGTGGAGCGAGGTGAGTTTGAATTTGGCAAAGGTTTGACCTGAAGGCCAGGAAAGACTGGCTTATAGATGGGAAGTGGAGTTTCTGGTAGGCACTGCAAGGAGTAAGCATCTGTACAGGAAACAGTTTATCGATTTATCTGTTTGATTGAGGTTTTGGTTTTATGAATGTTTTGTATAAACTAATATTTATATCATATAAATTGTATATTTGTAGCTTCTTTTTCATTTATTTTTGCTATTCTTTATGTTGAGAGGATTTAATGTGTGAGAGTAAAATTTCAATGTAAAAAGGTGTGAAAAATGAGTCCTTAAACCACATTGTTTCAGCAGGTTTCCTGTGATTGTTGATAAAGAAATGAACAAAAATCCATTTGTTGCTCCTTTTCCTCACAGAACCAGAGTTCTACCTGCTGTTGGCTTTAACAGAACTTTCTCCCTCACTGCTCAGCTCAGGTTTTAATCAAACTCTAACTGTCCAGCTTACATGGCAACTGCAGGAGTGAAACGTGTTTGCCATTGTCTCATGTGTTGCTTTACAGGTGTGTGGCATGGTGAGCTCATATGAGCACTGAGCGTCGGAGAACGTCGATCAACTGACCCAGAAATTTGATGCAGATGTTTTTTATGCAGTTTAAAGAAGTGAGCTGGAATTAATATGTGAGTATTATCAAACGTGTGTGTGTGTGTGTGTGTGTGTGTGTGTGAGGGGAAGGGAGGGGTGTGAATAAAGAGCTGGGATAGCAGAACCAGCAACCTGAGGCAGACAGGTCTTTTCTTGCTCTGCTGAACTGATCTGCCTCTTTTCCAACATATCCTGACATGCAAAGGAGAGCTGAAACTCCACTAATCAAAATGCTGAATATTAGCGCTGATCTAAATTTGAGTTCGAGTATCAATAACTGTTAGACCTTTTTAACAGTGTTTTAGTCATGCAATCCTTCTGAAATTCTCTTTAAATTCACGTTTAATGATTTTTAGGAAAAAAATACTTTGAGCTCGTTTGTATGAGAATTTAACATATGTGTATGCATGTTGTTGTGGATGTAGCATTAGCAACATTAGCAGTTAGCAACAGTTCCTCTACGTTCTCCGACAGAATATATTAAAATTAAAACATATACCTTTCCAATGACCGAAAAAGCCGCTAAAACCAGATAAAAATGGGCTTTTGGTGGCAGTGGGAACAGCTCACTGACCCATGTCTACCCGGGTCCGCTGACTCGGCAAGAGAACTGCGTTAAAATTCACCTTGGCTCTGATCGTGATACATTGAACGCAACACTAGAGGTAGGCGAATTGTTTCTAGGATCGATACTATCGATACCAGCCCTGGTATTGATATTGAACCATATTTGTTTAACAAGATCAATGCTATTTATTCTCTCCCGCACGCACTAACTGCAGCAGATTCACCAATCTCCCCATCTGTGTAACAGCACTTTGCTGCTCCCCCCTCACCTCTCGTCACTGGCCCCGCCCACTCAGCTCTTTCTCCACTCGACAAGAAAACAACCGCACTGTTCCTCAGACTGGAGCAGAAAAAGACGCAGAAGAGGAAACAAAGCGCCGTTTGGCTATATTTTAATGCCGTAAATGAAACGAGCGGTATGGTTTGTAAAAAGCCGTTTAAATTCTGTGGAAACACAACAAGTTTATATAAACACATAAAAAACCACGAGCAAGAAAAAGCAGCGCTATAGAAACGTGGAGAGGAAACCAAACTTCGCTCATTGCCCCAACAGACCCTCGACCCTCAGACAGACGTCACTGACGTTTCAGACCTCCAGAGAATATCCAGGTAGATAAGACTGATCATCTTCATATTAACGTTCAAATTAAACATTATACGTCACATGTTAGTGGACCCAACTCTGAAATACATGAGTTACATAAGGATTGAAAGAGATTAT